AAATTGTTGCTTAGTTGGTTAGTAATTAATTTCATTGAAATTTAATTAAAATTTTTATCTGAGATTGTCAATGCAATTTGCAGTTCAAATGAAAGCAATAAAAAGGACAAATCGAACTGTTAAAAATATTAAAAAAGCAGCGAAAATTTTTCGTTATAAAATTCTTCCAAATCGTAGGAAAAATGGAAGAAGTTTTAAACTTTTTTAGAAATTTAATTAAACGAAACAAATTGATTTTTATTTCTTATTTTAATCTAAAAATTTAATTTTTTTTTTTTTTTTTTTTCCAAAAAGGAAATGATAACAAAGAAAAAAAAAATATTTTCTTCATTTCCATATAGCAATATTGACTGTGTAATTCTGATTGATGATTGCACTTTTTTTAAAAAAAAATATTTCAGATGTGATAGATCTTTTATTTTTCTTGCAATAAACTTTTCAAAAAAAAAAAAAATTGATAAATGCATCAGAATTAATTTATTTTTTTTTTTTTGCTAAGTAATTAAATTTTATAATTAATACTTTTATGATAACTTCGCGTTTTTCTCTTTTTAAAATGTTTTAAAAAGAAGTTAGAATCTAAGAAAGGTAAAATGATTTATTATTACGATGATAGAGTAAAAACTGAAAACTAAATTGTTATTTCGCATAATAGAGGTAATTAATTTGGAAGCATTAATTATTTTAATAATAGTTTTTGCTGTAAAAGTTTAGCCAAAATGTTTTGCTAACACATTTATATTTAAAAGTAAATTAGTTTCATAGCTTAAAAACAAAATATTTACATTTATAATTCATTATTTGTAATCATTTATGGTTTGCTAATTTTTACTTACTCATACTTATGTGATATATATTTTGGGTAAAAGAGAAAATATTCTCTCAACTAATCTTTGAATGTTGACAAAATTAAAAACCTTTATTTTGAAATTAAATTGAATTATAATTTCAAAAAAAAAAAAATGCTTCTTTTGCAATAATTTCAATCTATTTACAAAATAAAGTTTAAGAAAAGTCAATTATATTTCAAAAAATAGTGCGAAAAAAAAAGTCAAAAATATTCAAAATTTCTTTCCTTGGAATTTTATTATTATTATTATTTACTTTTCTTCATTGTATTACTTTCATATTTGATCTGTGCATAATACTTCTAAACTATTCTGCTGTGTTTTTATTTAAATTAAAATTTCATTTTACCATATTCATAGCTTCAGTATAAATTATTTAAAAATGACTATTCGTAAAAGATATTTGTAATATTAGAAACAGTTGGACAGAAAATGAATTTTATTGAATAGAATGAAAATATCAAAATATATCAAAATGGTTAAAAAAAAAAAAAAAAAATGTCAAAATGATTAAAAAAAAAAATCAAAATGATATCAAAATGATTAAAATATTGAGAGCCGGAAGGAACTTAGGTGAAAATGAGCAAAGTTTATTTGTTAAGAAAAAAGTTTTAAATTTTTGTTAAGAATTTAAATTTAACCGCATTTCCTTCTTTCATCTTTCTTTTTTTTTTCTTTCTTTTTTTTTTTTGCTCCTTTTGAAATCGATTTCATTTTGTAATATTTATATATCAAAATGATTAAATTTTTTACAATTAAATTTTATTCTATTTATTTACGTCACATTTATACAATTTATGGCTTTATTCCTTACTTCTTTTCATTTTCATTCTTTTTATTGGTTTTATATGTCTACGACAGATCTTGCAAATATATTTGTTAAAATTAGGATGAAATGTGCTATAAATTTCAAAATAGTCTTTCATGTACTCATTGAATTTTGATCATTAATGGAGTTTTAAGTTAAGTATTTTAGAGAATATGCATTTTAGATAATAAACATTTTTTCCATGGAAATTAGATAAAAATTAAAAAACGATATAATATTTAACAAATTTAGCAAATTATTATTTTTTTTTTTTAATTATTTTAAGTAAACATTGTAAAATATTATAAATTGTAATCATTTCAGAGTTATGTATCTAATAGATTTGGCCACTGTGACAGCAGCGCTAGCAATATGCTTTGGTGACTTGGTGTGCGCTTATGGAAATCATCGACAGAAGAAGCAATTGTCACCAGCATTGCAACTCGAAGATAACATTAATTCTCTTTTGCGTCTTAATGAATTGGTATTAAACGTAAATAATTAAATAAATTTTAGTATTAAAACAATTCTCTCAAATAATTTCCAACTTTTCTAGGTTACTTTTTTTTTCCCCTTCTCTCTCTCTCTCTCTCTCTCTCTCCTGTTTCAATTATGAAAAAGATTATTTGTTGAGTTAAAAATTATTTTCTTTTTTTTTTTTTTTTAAAAAATCTTTTAGGGATATAAACGTTCCTTTGGAGAACCATCACATGCAATGGAATTTCACGATGGTTTGGATGATCTATTCTCATTGCAAAATATTGGCAAACGACCTGCATTAAGTCCAGCAGATCAATTTGCCAGACAAATGGACGTACTGTGACCTTTTATATTTTATTTTTACTTCGTATGATGATATAAGTGCAGTAGCCAAATTTGATACTAAATTTGAAATGTTTAAATTTATGCATTTTAAAAGGTCAATAAATTTATTCATTTAGGCTATGCAGCATTTGGCAGCGGCTGGTAAGAAAAGGTCATTGTCACCTGCGACCAATTTTCAACAGCAATTACAACTGCCGCATATGCTAATGGATGCAGGCCGTTAAAAGAAAGAAAAAAATGATTTATTCAGTGATATTTAAAATAAGTGAACGATCTCGAGAAAAAAAAAAAAAAAAAGAGAGAAAAAAATGTGTTTATTGTCTAATTACACCACTAGCAAATGCAATAATTACCATAATTATTACTACTAATTACAGTTAATAACTATCCTAAAATATATATATCTATAAAATTGGAAAAATTTTAAATCTAAAATGAAATTTTAGAGTTTAAAATGAATTGAGAATATTGTGTAAATTGTAATTTTAAATTCAACCACCATTAATTCTAATAGGAATATCCAACGAAAGATTAATTTGACTGCATCAATGTAAAACGAACTATCAAAATTATGAGAGAACGAACATACATAAGCGATTGTTTCAAAATTTATAGCATATTTTGTCCCAATTTCAAATAAATATTTCGAAGACCTGTGGTAGACATAGATGAAACCAATAAAAGAAAGAAATTAAAAGAATAGAGGAAAAGAGCATGGAACTATGTGTAAAAGCAAATTTTAATTATACAAAAATTTAATCATTTTGTTATTAATATCATAAATGAAATCATTTTTCAATGAGAGTAAGAGAGAGGAATAAAGGAAGGATAATTCAAATTCTTATCAAAATTTGAAACTTTTTCTCAACAAATTAACATTCCAAAACGTTCATCGTCATATTCCACCTCTCAAATTTCAAGATTCTATCCCTCCTCTAAAATTTAATTTCTGTTGACTGTTTCTACTAGAAATGATCCATCGGAAAATTTCGGGTAAATTAGTTACGGGTTAGGATTGTAATTTAATTAATGCTGTTGCAGTTGATCATTATTAATAGCTATAGGTCAAATTTTGCTCAGCTTTAAAAATAATATCAATAATATTGAAGAAGCAAGTGATTTCGTGAATTTCACCGATGTTTTAAAATTTCTTTCTTCATAATTTCGTTACATTCACATTATCAATTCTATTGAGACAAACTTTTTTTTTTTTTATTTACACAATTATACAAATATAAATTGCCAATATTTATGGAATTGTTGTTGAGAACAAAAAATTGTGAAGTTTCAACCACCACTTTAAATTTTAACAATTTTAAATTTGAAAAGTATCTTATACTTTTGAGAAATCAAATGAAAAAAAAAAGAGAGAAATGAAACAAGTTTCTATTTCTATTAGTTAAATAAAAATTATTCGTTGCTTCTTTTTTCATTTTTTTTCTTATAAAATTCAAAAATATACTTAATGAAATATAATTAATTGAATAGAATATTTCAAATTATATTAATCATATAATCTCATTTTATTATTGATATCAGCAATGTTAACAAATGATATACACATATAATTATTATAAAATAACAATAATGAAAAACAAACATTTGCAATAATTTCCTTCCAATATATTTGAAAAAAAAAAAAAAAAGGAAATGGAAATGGAAATGGAAATGAAACGTAAAGAAACACGTATAATTCATTCAGTAGAACGATTAAATGCAAACTGAAAAAATGATGACTTGAACAAAATGCACATATAAATACATCTGCTTGACGAAAAGGCAAAAATTTGCATTATTTTTTAAAAAAAAAGAATTAAATCATAAAAAAAATAATAAATTGAAATCTTAAAAAAAAAAAAATGTTAGAAATATATTTTTTTTTTTGGACAAATGAGCTTGAGCATTCAAAGTAAGATAATTCTGATAAAGTTAGTATTTAAAGTATAATTATTATTGATCAATCCTAAAGCTAGGCTATTTCCTAGAATTTTAAGTAGTTCAATATGTGAAGCCAAAACAGTTCTGTGTTTAATTATACTCAAAATGAATATATGTATAGTGAACAGTTCTCGATTTAATTAATTATGGACTAAGCTAATTAGCTAAACAATAAATTTCAGTTAGTTTATTATCGTTAGATCGTTAGATAAATGAATTCAATAACTATTGAAAAGTTAAAATTTGCAAAAGCTCATCGATATTTTCAAATCAAACTTTTTATGTACAAAAAATAGCTGAAATTTAAAAAAGAAGTAAGGAAGAAACAATTTTTTAGTGTGTGATAAAACGGAGCGTTTTCAAAAGTGAAAATAATTTGAATAATTAGCGTATCAATTGTTCATTCAAAATAGGCAACGTTAATAAAAGGCAAGCCTTAAAAAAAAAAAAAAAAATATTAAAAATATTTCACATATATCCAAACATATATAAAATATATTTTACCACCGGTATTGAACAGGTTTCCTGATTCTAAATTTCAACTTAAATCCTGACATTTTCTAATAGCAATGAAAATTTTATTAGCCTGCAACAAGTCTGTATAAACGACATGTCGATTCTGGAACCGGTGATACCTCAAAAACGAAACCGATCACCATTAATGGTTCTTTTGTATCACGATTTGTTACTACCTGTAAATTATTCAGCTAAAAGAAAATTTAATAATTTTTTTTTTTTTAATAAATCTAATAAAACAAAATTTAACAAATCAAATGCTGCAGTTACTTTCTACTTTTACATAATTTATTTTATCAAATTTTCATCAACAACAAAACAATCCTTTCAATTGAAAAAAACAATTTGTCATAAAGTTAATGTGTAAATGCTAATTAAATGCTAACTACGAAATTGGTAAATAAATTTAACGATAAAATAGATCACAGATCTATTAAAAAAAAAAAAGAATATAGAAACTTGCAATATTACCTGCAATACTGTGAAATTATATAACACACTATTCATTAAATCATGACTTTGTAATTTTTTCAGCTCTGCAACAAATTTCACCATATATTCACACATTGGTGATCCTTCTAATCGAAAATTAAATTTTCTTCCGTTTTCAATCGGTGAGTAAATCTAAAAAAACATCACAATATTATTTACAACCAACTAATATGACAGTATCGATTTTTAGATGTTCAACTGGAACCACATTAGTGATACTTAAAAATCTCTAAATCCGATTTAAGTCTTTATAACTGTAAAATTAAAGCTTATACTTGCTGACTAGTTGAAAAGTTAACATTTTATGAGTTTCTAAAATTATCATTAGCTCTAATTTTGAAATGTATTAAATGAAAGTATGGATAAAGAACAAGTAATTATATGAGTAGAACAAATTTTTAAAAATTTCTAACTTACTTCAACTTTCTCGATCACTTGCTTACCAAAGGAGCATACTTTTGTGGATACTGTGATATCAAATCGTTGGGTACTTTCATAGAAGCTATCAACTGCATAAAGAGCAGAATTATCATCCGGTAGAGTGAATTCGATGTTAGCCCAACATTTCACAAGGAAAAAACCATCACGAGGTCCCGATGCAAATAACTCACCAAGTACTGGTGGATATTTCTCTGCTATATCCTCTAACTTGAAAGTCTGCAAAAAAAAGTAATGAATAAAGTAATATCTATGATTTCAATTATAGTTAGCCAAATAGACAAAACAAATTGCTTTTCAAGAAAAGAATAACCTTTTTTAGATTACAAGACGAGTAGTCTTATAATTTTTAAACCATTTCAAACACTCAACAAATCATTCAATTCATATCATAAAGTAATTAATTACATTTCATTGTTCGTCCCCTCTCTCTCTCTCTCTCTCTCTCTAACTACAATTTTTTTTTTCTTTTTACTAAATGCCAAATTTTTTTCCTAAAATTTTCGCTTAAATTAACATTGTCAATTTCTTGCAATCCTTTTGTTATTATTATAATCCTTCTCGATGACAATTATTTTCATTCATTTTAACTATCCAACTAATCAACATATAACTGTAAAATTACAAAAATCTAACCATATCAAATTACAGTAAATACATTTCAGCCAGAAATAATTGTTATCCAAAATAATTAACACAGCCTCACTTTCCCTTAGCAATCTATAAGAATGTCGTGTATGTCACATAATGTGTGGGCTTTGTAACTTTTGTGAGAAAAGTTACTTATGGGAAGGATTTGGAATAATATTCAGGGTAATGATGTATGTTTTTTTTTTTTTAAGGTAGGGCAATATTCTGAGAAATGAAATGATTGACCTTCTTCCATTGATCTTTCACTATGATTAAAGTAAGTGTGTGTATGTGTATGTGTGTGTGTGTGTGTTTGGAGTATATAATATACTCAAAAAAAAAAAAAAAAATTATCAGATTCACCCATAGAATGTTAGTTTTTAATTTCAAATAAATAAATTTGTTGGAATTTTGAGCGAAACAAAATTTCATTTTTAGTAAAATATATCTTTCTAACAAATGATAATACTACTAGAAAATTTTACATTGCTTTTATGTCAATTTAATATTTACTGTTTAATATTTCAAATATTACCTCAAGTGGTTCATCGGCAAGTTTTGGTATTCGCACGAGATCTACCCGTGAAGCAACGTTGTTTGGAATGGGTTCAACATAAGCTGTGAAACCGCATAAGGTAAGCACTGAAGAAGCAATAGCACGATCATCAACAGGTATCACAGGTGATAATTTTTCCACTGGTGACTGACCATTCAATGATACTCGACCATTGTTGTAGCCATTTATTCTAACAATTTCAATTTTCAATAAATTGACATACATCTAATGAATTGAAATGTCTCAAGAATTTTTAACTTAGTTCAGGTGTAAGATGAAATACGGTTTTTTAAACTAGAAACAAACTTAAATTATTAAAAGAGTAAAATAGGTCAAGATTATGGGAAGAAAACTTACTCGACGATGCGCTGATAAGCTTTGAGATCTTCCTGAGCTGAAAATGCGGTCTGTGCCGAAGTTGGAGTTGGAAAACCAGCGGGCCATACTGTTGGGTAAAGTGCCCGAGGTAGGACATTTTGCTTACTCATCGCCAACATCGATAAATTATTTAATGCTGCTGACATCGGTTTTTCTTTTTCAGCACTAGTACCAGGAACAGTTGTACTAACAGCGGATGGCGGAGATGTTTCCGCTGACTTAAAATTCAAGTTGTATTATTTCAGTTTTAATTTGAATTTGTATTAACTTCAAACTTCTAAATTTCATTATACTTTTCAAACTTTTAAAAATGAGCAAATGAGCATTAATTATTCAAATATATGGACGATGCATTTAACCTAACCTTAAGCTTAGCCTGTGTTTCACGAGCTTTCTTTCGTGCAAGAACTTGGATATGTGATGAAACTTGTTTTCGTGTCCTTGTTTTGCCACACCTTATCTTGATATATCGAGCTATTAATTCATTTCGACCTGAAATTTAAAAATTTCAAAGAACAAAACAGCTACTGTTCAAATTTTAAATTAACCAGACTGTTTAATATCAGCTCATCAACTCTGGTTCATTGTCATACAAATCAACAGAGTAAACATATTTCAGTGACAAATTTCAATTGAAATTTGTGTTAACTTTCAAAAATATTGTATCATATCATATTTGTATCATATCATTCCCTCAAATGATATGATCAATCACAACAATGATCTTATCTTATCATCTTCAACAACCCATAAAAAAAAATGACTTGCTAGACCGATCACTGCTCAATTTGCTCATAAATAATCATTTGTTAACTAACATAAATTTAATGTACGTGTCTGAATACGTGTCTCCATACGTGTCTCTATACGTGTCTCTACATATGCAAATATCAGAAATTAAAATGTCAGATTGTGTTTATCCACTTTTTCTATTCCTTACAAGGTCATCTGATTCAAATATATGCAATCCATTGATGTGTAAATGTTTTGAATGGCTTTAGTGAATGGTCAGAATGGCGTATTTTCCACACAGGATGGGACTGTGGTCATCTCAAGGACATCGATAAGAAGAGAAGGGCTATTCTTTCCTCTTTTAACTTCCTTCCACCTGCTTTTATCCTAGAATAATAGAATAAAAGCAAAGAATGAAAAAGAAAATTTTGCCCTCTTAGAAAAGCTATAGTAAAAAAAAAAAAAAAAAAATTTCCTAGTATTCCATTTCATCTGTTTCAGGAAGAAATTCAAAAATTCAAAATTTTCCACATTTAAATTTCTTGCAAAGAAATGTGTAAAGAATTTAAAAAAAAAAAAGCATTTTATCATATTTTTCATTGAAAACATCCAAATTTTATAGAAAAGTAAGGTTAAATTGTAGTTGTTTCATTTTTTTTTTTTTTTTAAATTATAAATTATCAATTATTTTATTCTCGGCTTTCTTTATCAATCGCTTTTCATTTCTAATTCAATAAATTGTTTCATTAAATGTGAACATATTTATTATTATTTCTTAAAAAGGCAAACATTAGAAAATATTATCGTCTTTTATTATCATTATTAATTATTATTATTATTATTTTAAGGAGAAAAAGGATAAAATAAAAAAAAAAAAATTAAAATGAATCATTTTTGCAAAGAAACAAATCGAATCATTTTTGTTTCATTTATTCAATTCAATACCTTTTTGTTTCTTACCATAGTGATGAAAATGACAGGAAAATGATAACAGATGATGGCAAATATAAAATATAAAAAATTTTTTTGTTGCCTATGTTGCTATTTAATAAAAAGCTAGTTTTATTTTAAAGGTGAAAAAAAGAAAAAAAAAAGAGAGATGGATGACATTTTTTGATGATGAAAAAAGAATTATTTTAGCACAAAATGGAATGAAAGATATTTTCTCTTGTATACTTTGAAAAGAAAAAAAAGAAGAAAAAAATTGATCAAAAAGATTGAAAATAAATTTAGTGATAAACTGTTAAGGATTTTTTTTTTTTGATAAACTGTTAAGGAATCTTAATTTTACTAATTTTTTTCTTCTTTCATCAGTAATTTAAATTTCGATCAAAAATTAATTAAATTTAATCAAAATTAATTAAAATTAAAGTATGAGGAAGAAAGATTTTCCAGGGTAATAATATTTTGTTTGTTTACATAAATAATTTTTAGAAATGTCAATGAAAAAAAAAAAATTTTTTTTAACCAGAATTTTGCAGAATTTTTTTTTTTTTTTTATGAAAGATTATGACCTTGAACCTTTGATCTTCAAAATTAATATTTGATATTTTATGGATTTCTAGACTTTGTATTATTTTCAAAAATTTTCTACCAGTGTTAATAGTTATTTTCAAATTAAATTTGGTGCAATTATTTCTCACTAAATCGACAAAAGATGAAAAAAGTTAATAAATCGACTGCTCAAATCGACTATAAACAATAAATATAACACTTACCGTAGTCTTATATGAAATTGCTAATTTCTCCCAAATATAAAACTTAATTGTAGGTTATAAACAATCATAAAATTCCATGCATATTTCTTTCCAAAAAAAAAAGAAGAAAAAAATTTCCATCAAAAGATAATAATTTTGTAACAATTGATAAAAGCATTAAATAAATGAAGTAAAAAGTCATATATGAGAATAAATTAAGAAATGAAATTAAATTTTTTGGCTAAATTTTATTCTTTAATTTTTACCGCTTTTCTTATTTTTACTTTTTCTTTTTTTTTCACTTTTTTTTTTTCTTTTGAAGTTAAAATAAACAAAATTTGATAGTTTTACAGAAGTAATGAAGAGATAATCGAAGAAAATAAAGAGAAAGAGATGGAGGAGAAAGAATTAAGGGCAGATGTGCTATAATAATATACTGCAGGTGATAGTAAAGTCCCTCAAAGTATGCAAATGTATAAATATACCATCGGAGGGAAAATTGGTACAGAGAAATTCATTGAGAGGGAAAATGGTAGAGAGAAATTCATTGAGAGGGAAAATGGTAGAGAGAAATTCATTGAGAGGGAAAATGGTAGAGAGAAATCCATTGAGATTGGAGGTAAAAAGAAGTGGTGGTCACATAAGGATGTAAAGAAAGGAAGCGGTGAAGGAGGCTCTCTCTACAAACATCTGCCCTCTTCCCGATGACCGGTCATGTACCGCTGCTTGACATTGTGGACAGTGGTCAGTAAATGTCACCACATAGATTGTCACCACATAAATATGCATGCATGCATGCAAGCTATTACAAACAAATCAATACGAAAGCTAATAAATGAAGATGAAAAAAAGATTAGAATAGTTTAACTTACACTTAACATAGACTTAAAAAAAAAAAAGAGCTAAAGCTAATTGGAATTAAATGAAATTTTCACATATGAGTGTAAAAATTATCAGATAATCACAATTTGATAAACAAAAATAACTTATTTAAATTGTTTGAAAATAATAATATTTCCATTAAATATCCTTTAATTATGCACAGCAAATGTAATCTCTCTCATAAAAGATATCTGAAATGTATGCAATACAGAATATTGTAACATTTTCATGCATAACATTTATCTGATCCGACAAGATGATAGTGTTTCATTTTTTTTTTTTTATATAATATTGAAATTTTCAATAGAATTTATGCTTACCATACATTTTCCCTTCATCGCTGAGAATAATTTTCCGTCGACCACATGGCGGATAAATTTGCAACGCTTCTTGAAATGCCTTAAATTTAATTCGAAAATTAACAAATACATTACTCGTAACAAATAAATGTTTTAATTACTACTACTACTACTACTACTACTCACCACAAATTATAATAAAAATACATTTGAAACTGCTGACATTTTCCCTTCATTGTTGAGATATACATCTACCTGGTCAATATCAGGTGACCCTAATATACACCTACCTGGTCAATATCAGGTGACCCTAATATACACCTACCTGGTCAATATCAGGTGATCCTAATATACACCTACCTGGTCAATATCAGGTGACCCTAATATACACCTACCTGGTCAATGTCAGGTGACCCTAATATACACCTACCTGGTCAATATCAGGTGACCCTAATATACACCTACCTGGTCAATATCAGTGACCCTAATATACACCTACCTGGTCAATATCAGGTGACCCTAATATACACCTACCTGGTCAATATCAGGTGACCAAACACCTTCAGCATCAGCAGATAAATCAGTAGCTGAAGAACTGGCTTGAGCTGGCTCACCAATATTTGCCTGATCACCAGCGGTCGGAGATAACTGAAACGAAAGCCTCATCTACTTAAAAATGCTAAAGTTAATATTTTTTTTCTTTCTTTTATTTAAACATTGATCAAAATCATTTAATCCAGTAAAATCATAAGGACAAAAAATTTATTTCCGAACAATTACTCAATAATCACTTAGCCCAATTCAAATATCTTGCAAAACTAGTCATTCATAAGTAATCTACCTGTATTCATCATGCAAAGAAATATTTCAATAGCAAAGAAATCTTTGTAAATTTTCAATTAATTTCTAAATTTCAATTAATTAATTTTAGCTACACCAATAACAATAGTTATTAGCAAAATTTAGAGGGTAATGGGATAAGTTTATTGAAAGTTATATCAAATAAATAGAAATAATGAATTAATTTGCAAGGTGTATTCATAATTTACCTGATTAATGATTGATTGTCCGTTCATTTGCCAGATGTTTGGTTTTTGATCTAAAGGTGAACTTGTTGATCTGAAAAGAGAAACTTAACAAAAATGAAAAATATTAAGCAAATTGCATGATAAATGTAAGCAATCATATAAAATGAAATAATTCATTTCTCATTACATTCAAATATTTGATTGAAAATTAAATGCAACTATTATTGATCTTAAAAGTTTTTACTAAAACAAAGTGAATGATTTGCTTCAGTAATTTAATGAATTTTAAATTTTAGTTCTTTTTTTTTTCTCTTTATTTTATGAATCTTAGATTTTATTTTAGATTTAGCTTCTAACAATAAGTAAACAAAAAAAAAAAAGAAAACATACCTGTTTGAAGCGATATCATCGTTGGATGAAGCGGCTGATGAGAGAATATGTCGTTGAGCACCAATCACTTCTTCTTGGTTCATCTGTAAATTAAATTATAATTTGTATATGATTATTTAACTTATTTAATAAATTTAATTTTAATAATAATTTAACATATCCAATAAAATTAGAAAAGATAAAAATTCATTTTCTTAAAGTATTTTTACTTTAGGTATTTTTTTTTTTAATTTCCACAACATAATACATATTTATCATGTAAGTATGAAATGTTTTGATATTAAAATTTTTTAATTTCAGCTAATTATCAATCAGTAATTGTAATAGCAGAAATCATAGACAGATGGAATAAATTATGAAGTGAAAGTTGCAAAGAGACAGATTAAATGATAAAAATTTGCTGACTAATATGGAGTTCAAGTTTACTAAAATTAAGACAAATAAGGAATTTTATAATTTATACTCAAATCCTAAGAGATTCAAATTACCGAACTTATTTCCAGTTAAAAATTCAATTATTGAATTAATTAATAAGCAGAAAAGCGTAAGCAATTGGAACATTAAACCTTTGCAGAAAGATCATTGCAGCTTTCCATACTGAATAAATCATCGATTAACTTATTAACATTTTAATTTTCTCTTAACCTCTCCATTTTCAAGGGTTTTATTTGTCAAATTTTAGCATCTAATGTATTCAACTTTTTAAGTGTAATTAAATATGTCAAAAAATATTTCAAGCATATCAAGTATATAATAATAATAATAAATTCCCTAAGTTTTTGATTTAAATTTTTGCTATTCTATAAATTCCCTAAGTTTTTGATTTAAATTTTTGCTATTCTATTTGCTATTAATTTCTTGTTATCAAATTTAAACTCATTTATTGAAAAAATAAGCTAATGATATCATTTGATCTTATCTTTTTCACATTTGTTCCTAGCTAGAATTGCATAATTTAAAAATGTAAATTGTTTAGACTATTTCAACTATTAATATTCGAGCGCTACAGAAGAGACAAAAAATATTCTAAACGAATTTAAATGAAAAGGTAAATTAAATATGAAATAGTGTATTTCAATATTTGCAAGTATTGTGGAATAATTTCAAATATATTTTTGTTGATAATTAAATGATATGCATGAATTTCAGTATATCATATCGGTAGTATTTCTCTGTATATTTGTTTAACAGAGAAATTCATCCCTCTGTTAAAGTATTTTACTTTTGCATATATTTATGTTAAAAATCAGTTTTTTTTTTCTTTTTAGGTTTTTTAGTCTTTTTTTTAGGTTTTTGAGTTTTTAAGTTTTTGAAATATACACTTTAACAGTAGGTATTAACAACCGATTTCTTAGTAATCATAAAATATATTTATTGAATTTTTATTTTGTATTATCAGATGATAGCAATAGCAATTATCGCTATTCGTATATTTCCTATTCATTCTTAATTATTCTTATTTAACTTATACTATTGATATTTCACTACCGTTATTGTTCTGATAATTTATTATCACTTTTGTCTTTTATCATCTTTAATTTTTGAAATAGAATAATAATATGCTATTTGTTATATGGCCAATGTGTTATTAATTTTTTTTTTTCCTTATCACTTTTTTTTTTCATCTATTCGTCTGTTAAGTTATCATCATTTGTGATATGATTTTCATCATTATTTTCTCTTATTATTAGCACAGCTACTAATTTCTCATTGCTAATAGCAATCAGAAAGAAGTTGGCAGCAATTTAGAAATGATAACTGACGATGATACACAAACAGTTGAACAATATATCAGTTACGAAGATAGCAATGATAACAGATAGCAATGGATGACTGTAACTTCACAATTCTGAACATAAAGCAAAAATCACAACAATAATAATTTGGCATTGATGACAATGATGATGATAATGATGATGATGATGATGATATGTAGTAATCATGATAAAAATGTAGCTAATAATTGTAATTCTCATCTCTCTTTATATATATATATATGTGTGTATGTTGCCTTTGATATATATCATTATTATCATCGTTATCATTATTATCACTACTATCATCATTACCATCATCATCACTATTATCATATACGGTGGCACTTCTCTCATCAATTTTATCTTCAACAATCATTCATCATCAATCAGTACCTTCACAGGTACTTTCAATTCTCTTAGTTTTACGTTACATCCTGTTCCCTTCTATCACTTCTTTCTCTCTTCCAAGGAGCATCGAGCATCGAAGGAGCATTTGAACAAGTATATAATAATTATCAATAATCATCACAAGCAATAACAGACAGGTTAGTGAGTGTTTTAGACACAAAGGTAAGAGTTGTTGATAGTGGTGGTTGGTGGTTGGTGGGTTGGTGGTGGTTTTTGCAGTGCTGAATCATTTTTCATAATGCAATGAATACAGAGGGATACAAGAGAGAGAGAGAGACCCTCTTTTTTTCAAAATGATCTTTTCTCTTCTCCTCTTCTCTCTTCTCTTATTGCTTAAAATCTCTTCCCACTTTTTTTTTAAAAAAAAAAAAAAAGAAAGAAAAAAAAACAAAAACTTGTTGGGACTATAACACATTTCAATGAGTTATTTTAAATCGATGAATAAAATCTAATCAAAAAAACAGAATGAAAATTTGAAGAATCAACCTAATTTTTAAAAAATTTTCTACATTGAATTCATTTCAAAATGGGTAAATTTTTTTTTGTTTTTTTTTTTTTCAAAATTCATTCACTGTTTGCATAAATTTTTTTTGATTAATTTTATGGAAAAGAGTTACAAATTTAATTACAAGCAAAATACTTTCAAGCATTTCATTTCATTTATTGCTAAATGTAAAAAAAAAAAAAAAGAACTTAATTATTATATTTAAAAATATATTATTACTAAATTATGTTAGCTAATTCAAAAGCAGCGATTGCTACTACTCCGTTCGTGATAATTTTTCATCCATAAGCTAAATTTAATCATCGAACTTCACATACTTCAAATGTTGCAAATTTGTAATGGCAACAACTGTTATATGATTCTCAGATCTTTTTAATCATTACTAATTATAAATAACTTATCAGTTTACAGATTTATTTGAATTAATACATAAAATTATCCTATCCTTTTTATGAAATCATTGTTATCATTTACTTAATACATTCATATCATTGTTATCTGCTGGATCAGTGTCAAACAATCTTAAAGGAAAGCATAAAATGCAATGGGATATATCATTTATTACTCAAATTTCTTTCATCGCAAATAATACTGGAAGCATAAGAATGTACCATTTGTCAAGTGTCACCCATTTGTCAAATGTCACTAAGGTAATTCTTCCGTTCTGATAACTTAAATACTTTTACAAGCAGTTAAGATTGATGAACCTGCAATAAAACTAAAACCTTGATCTACTTCTATTTCCTTCCTAGCAATTCCATTAGACTTTTCTTTTTCATTTACAGCAAAATTTACAGTATTCAATAGCTCAAAAATAATTATAGATTTAAATTTCGGCAAATCGGATCATGGTAATAATAAAAGGATTTTAGAGTTAGTACAATGTTTCTCTTTACAGAGAAATTATTATTAATAATTATTGAATTCAAATTTGTGCTATTTTAATTACTACTCAAATCATTTCACAAATAATATTAAATTATTAATTTTTAATATAATTAATCACTTACCGGTGTGGTTTTTCTTTTTTTTTTTTTTCTTTTTACATTAACAAAAAGATGAGAAACATCTGGTAGTAACCTAAATCTTTGTACTATTCAACAGCGATTGATCATCGAACCGAACCGGCACACCGGCACAAGGATGTCAAATAAATCGGTCAATGGAACCTATTTAGCAGTTAGGTAAACAAAACTGTACACTGCTCACTCAATATTCACACACATTATACTACAATACTAGCTTAAATGCTAACTTAAATAACTAATTTTTAGATAGCACATTGAGATATATTGACTGTATGTACTCTTAACTTACTCAACAATAATCATATTTACAATTTTGTTCAAAAGACTATACTACTGCTTCTGCATTGCGCAAAAAAAAGATTTCTTCCGCCGAGAAAATGTATATATAAATATACCATATAATGTTTAAATATAGTTAAGTACTCTAGCTATTTCTCAAATATCAAAAAATCTAGGATTCAGTAGTACGGAAGATTAAAGCTTATATAAGTAATCGATTGCTCTTAAAGCTTATATAAGTAAATTTCAAATTATAAATTAAATTTATGATCTAATTTTTCAAACAAATCTCAGTGTCTCATGAACATTTTTCCTCATTCCTCCTTCCTTTGTTTTAATTTCAGTTTAATACAGTTTAGTTAATTAATTAATTAATTAATTGATTAATTATTCCTTTATTCTTCTACCAAAATACTCTCTTCAAATACTTTCTTCTCAACACCACAAAACAATCTATCACTTAATTGTAAGAATTTTATCAATTGAAAAGAAAAAAAAAAAAAACTAAAAAATTACAATTCAAAAGATTGAAATTACCAGAAGAAAATCTTCACTTATTCTATTAATTTTACTTCAACTACTCCAAAAAAAAAAAAAAATGTTTTGATATCTCGTAATGATGACGCATTTTATGAGTAATACAAACTTTTCTTGCCATCTTTTCTCTCTCTCCCTCTCTCTCTCTCTCTCTCTCTCTCTCCTTTCTTCTTTATGATAATTTTATAAATTATAAATCAACAAAAGGTACTCTTTTCATTCGTTGCAATATTTAATGTTCCCTTATGTTACGTTTACAGTGGCGAAGTGTGCAAATTTCGCTGTCAGTTCAATTAATAACAAATTATCATAGTTCTGTGTGTGCCCTTCATAATACTCTTCCACCTTAACTTTTCAGAGGTGTAACAGTTTCAAAATTATTATGTATGTGAAGAGACAAGGTGTATATACATTACTACACACATACATACATACATACATACATACATACACACATACATACATACACATGCATGTAGACATACATGATCAAGTCGTTCAGTATTTTACATTTAAATTGACAGACAAATAGACCGACAGGCAGACAAACATGCATAGATTCGTACAGAAGTTTGCTTCAAAAATACAAACTTTAGTGGAAGATGGTCCCGAAGATGTCCATGGACTGCATTGATTGATACTTCTGTTTTCTTTGACAGAGAAACTGCGGAAGAAGACAAAAATGAATTTGAACTGTCCTGTGAACTCGTTCCCTGTGAACTACCCAACCCATCCCATCCCATCCTACCATATCACATCACATCATATCATCATCATCATCATCATCATCATCACCATCATCACCATCATTATCATCACTTTTCAAATATTAAACCAAACACGAAATGAAACAAACTACTCCTTACCTCTCTCTCTCTCTCTCTCTCTCTCTCTGTTTCTTTCAATCATTCTCTCTCTCTCTCTCTTCCTCTTTCCCTTTTAATCTCTGTCATCATTCTTTCCAAAAAAGGTTACGCTTCTTCGTTTCTCTTTTTATCTTTTCATTCGTCAGAAATTAAAATTCTTCAAAAATTTTTATTTCTTTTTGAAAGAAACAAAACAATTTGCAATTTTTGCTATTAATAGGAAAAGAAAAAGATAGAAGTCTTGAAAAAAAAAAAAAAAATCTTTCACTATTTCAGTTAAATAAAAATTCAATTAGAGCAAAAGGTGAAAGGTAAAAGGTAAAAGGTTGAGAGATAGGAAGAAGCAGAGAAAATGACAGTATGACAAGGACAAAAATGACATTTTGCAATTAACTGTTGCATTGATCAAGAAATTACCGCTAATAATTGCATTTATTATATTGAAAGTATTGTTGGGGAGACAAGAGGGAAAAGGGGAAGGGGAAGAGGAAGTTGTTTTAATGTCTATTTTGGATAGGCTAAAAAAGTGTGTTGATAATGTGAATTTGAAATGAGATTTTCTTTGTACATTTAAAAAAAAAAAAAAAAAAACTGAGCAAAAATAGAGAACTTAATGGATTGCCTGAAAATAACTAACCATTAGTGTTTTCATTTTGATGGTATAACTCAAACTACTACCACTTTTCATTCAACATTTTATCAAAAAAATTTAATTTCAAACTTTTGAAATACTAAAAAGCGCCGCTCATTGCAATTAGAAAGTAAAAATGATGTGAAAAGTAAGATTCTTTCTACCTTATCCTATAAACTTACTTCATATTCTTATCAATCAAATGTATGACAGTAATAACTTTTTTTGTTATATTTTACATATTCCATTTAAATCTCTATTAATTCATTCATTCATTCATTGTATAAATAAATTATTCCTAAATGGACAATGGCGCCTGAATAAATTTTTTCTTATTTAGACCGACACAAAAAAGTGTTGTGTGTTGTTCGGTTAGCACTTTTAGATCAGTGAATATATTAACATTCCTTATAGTTAACATACACAGACACACACACACACATACATACATACATGCACACATACACATACATACATGCATACATACACAGACAGGTACAACGATATGTTTTAATAGTTTCACATGGAATAGACATTTCAGTAGAGAGGCTGTTGACTGTACAACAGGGTGAAAGGACGGACAAATGGACAGATGAATGAACGAATAAACAAGTGGACGACAGAGCAACAAAGAATCGGACAAAGAAACGTATTGCGACAGTGCCATGGGGACGGAATACTGAGACAGACTGTCCTGGTCAGGTCATTGAAGGGTAGCAACGAAGCAGATGTCCATCCGATAGCCAAGCAGACCAATGTATGCGCATGCGCATGTGCGCATATGTTTAGTGTCCAAGGGCATTCCCTATTCCGCACCAGTAGCAGCAGTAGTCACATCAACAATTATCTCCACCTCTCTTCCTCTATCTATCCGTAAATTTACCAAATGATCCAAAATCCGATTAACGTCATCGAAAAGAAATTTGAAGGGAACAAAAAAAAAAAAAAAAAAAAGAAAACATTTCAGTTAATGAGGGTATGAAATTCGAGATAGATACTTATTAACCGGAAGCAAGTTTAATGTAACAGATTTTAAAAGCTACTTACATTAAACTGAACAAAGGTCATAAATGTAGAGTTAAGATAAAAGCAAGCTTTCAGCATAAAAGATTGAAGTTGAAGAAAAGAAACAAAGATCAGATGATAAAGAATAATATTGGATTGGATCGTTGAATCGGATACGGTTTCAGTAAATTTTTATTTCTTCATTTGTAACTAAAATAGATGAAAAATATTTAAATGAAATTAAAAAATTTGAATTTACTCTTAACAAGAATGTTTGAATTACACTTATGTTATCCTTTTCACAATAAGAAATGTTCATTTTTTTATTTATTTAATTAATTTAGCCCAACTTTAATAGTAACAGTGACAAAAATAATATTCATCCATTCTTTAAAATACTTTATATCTTACGTGCACGTGTACGTGTACGTACGTGTGTGTATGTATACATATATATGTAAACTCTTATCAAATGGAAATATTATCAAAAGCAGAAGTAGCAGCAGCAGCAGCAGCAGCAGCAGGAAACTAATCATAATCACATGTTTGTGTGTTGTATTTTTTGATAACGAAAAAAAGAAAAAATTAATGCACACAGAGATACGGTAATCTCTGTTAGGAAATACTGTAGAAATTTATGACAATTCGTTTATTAAAATGAAGAAGCGTTAAAGGTCAAAATTGATTAAAAAAAAAAAAAGATTTTATTTCTCAAAAAAGAAATATAACAATTTAAAAAAAAAAGTACTGATGAAATTGAAAAGAGAAAAGAAGCAAAGAGCTTTTTTTTTTTTTTTCACTTCAAATATAAGCTCTCATCTAATGTTAGGAGAAAAATGAAGAAAGTCAAAAGAAAAGAATTGTCATCGTTATCAGAAATTTATGATAATGACAAACAGTTCATCTTAATTTGTGATAATGAAAAAAAACAAATATTGTTTCACTTACTTCATTTGAAATACACTGTAATTGTAATTGTAAAGATAACAAATGATTCAGTGCCCAATAATGGAAAAGAAATGAAGAAAAAATACAGTAATGAATGTTTTTTTTTGAAATATTCATTAGTAAATTAAAGTTAAGTGATAAAAAACTTTGGTACTTAACTCTTTGAGTACTTTTGAGAAGAAATTTTATCATTCAATTTCATTGGATGAATGTTGCAAATTTCGAAAATGAATTAATTATTAATTATTGAAATGATAAAATGCTTACTGTGAGAATTGTTTGATTAGCTTATATCAAATGATCATTAATAGCTTAATGTCATTAAGTTGACATGTCAAGTTGACAGAATCTCTCACTCTCAGAAAGGTCATGTCTCACTCTCAGAAAGGTCAAATGGAAAGCATGCATGTATTGAGGGATGAAGGAGGTGATAAAAGAACATTTTAAATAGTAACAAAGATGATAAATCAGAATGGAGACAACATTGCTCTTGGCATGTCTTTAAAATTGATAAAATAATCAGTGATAAGTCATTTGAAGCATTTTAAAATTGATAAAATAATCAGTGATAAGTCATTTGAAGCATTTATTCACCTTATCGGAACACATCTCAATACAAATATGTCATCCTGTGATGCTAAAAAAATGACTGACTGAATGCAATGTATGAAATATCACTGCCTGCAAAAACACTATTTCAAGTTCGACACAACAAGCAAAAGCGCAACTGTGCATCTTTCTTATCAGTAGTGAATAATACAGGGGCGCTTCAGTGCAATTTGATGTGTTTCTTTTAAACAACAATTGCTTATTACGAACCACATCCTGAACCAAAGCATTTCCGAAGCTAATGTCGGCTGACACTTTCTTACCAACATCAATTACTCTTCCATTATTACAACAACTTAACAATCACTGTTATGCTGATCAGAAGCAAATAAAAGGACACACACACACACACACACATACATACACACACATACATCAGGAAGTACGGATAAATAACATATCGATAGAGAGAGGCACTTCCAGAAGTACATCCTGATCAATCAGGTAAGACATCATTCTCGAGATATTTTGAGAAAGTTCAAAATAAAGATTTTCTTCTGAAAAGATGAACAGAAGCAAGGGACCATGAAGTAGATGTAAACATTTTGAGTAAGCAAATTTAAATCTAGTAATATCTTATAATCTCATTTTGATTATGTCTTTATTTATTTATTTATTTATTTATTTACTCGAAGCATTGCATCCTTTTAATATATCCATTTAAGAGCATTAAAGAAATGAATCAACTTAAAACTTGAAATGAAACTTTTCCAATTGATGATGCAAAATATCTTCGTGAAAATAAATAAACAAATAAGAACTCGTTTGTCCAACAGTATATTGAATTGCTATTCTCGAGAATTTCTTTCAAACTGTTTGTATGTGTATGTGTATGTGAATGATTGGATTGAAGTGACAAAAGAATGGAATACATACACCAACCTTCACATTCAGCAATAACACTGTCCTTTACCGCCTGCAACGCAAATCTTTCCGCTTCAAAGCCGATGACAACGCTGGCGCTCTCGTCAACACTACTATGTACCGTTATCGTGGGAAGAACAGTTGTTAGTCAGTAGCCGTAGCAATGGTAGTAATAAAGTGGAGCGCGGAACCTTTCGCAGTTACGTCGCGAGAGGAACGAGCGAGCGCCGTAGGCTCGAGAACGAACCTTCCGAAAAAGCAATCTCGACGGGACACGACACTGCTGAACAGACACGGGTGGAATGCGTGGAATGAGCATGAAGAATTCCTGTAACGCTTGCAATCTCATAGGGCGGAGTGTGGCAAGGCGGGGCAACACCTACGTCTACGCCCACTCACACACTACCGACAATCTCCGGTATGTGTGTGCGCGTGTCTGTATATGTGTATGTGTATGTGTATGTGTGTGTCTGTGTGTGTGTGCACACCATCGCCTGCCCCACCTCCCATCTCAATTTTCGAAGTGGTTCATGACTACCTTAAAAATATTCATTACCAACAGCGATGGAATTGACCGGCAGTGACCCGTGGTACCACCTGTCTGGTCAGTTCTACTAATCCATGTTTATGTGACATCTTTAGCATTAACCTGTCATTGTTTCATCTGCGCCCACTTTAATTGGATATATTAGAAGAGAATCTATCAGTTTGGCTAATGAAAATGGCGGTAATGTCTAAGAGAAAGAGAAATGAGGCGCTTTTAACATTTAATATACCTACTACTAAAGTAACTTCATTATCATCATCTATACTTACTGTTGCTAAATCACATCCCATCATACTCCACTCTTCACATCTTATCATCACTGATTATCTTAACATTATGCAACCTTATCCCTCTCCTTGCAATCGGATTCAATTGCCATTATCATCTTATCAAAAGACTGTTATGACACATTTCCAGGTATTCGATTCATTGACCTTTGTCACATTCTCAATGCAAATGGTTATAGTCACTTATCATTTTATTGCTTTCATTGTATTTCCAACCAACATTTTAATCGATGTTACTGCATTTGGATCATATAAAATCAACAATTAGTTATTATTTACCTTACCTTACCTCACCTTACCTTATCTTACCTTATCTTACCTTACCTTCCTTATGTATATTTGTGGATGAAATCTTAAACTTACATCTTTTGCTATCTTCCTGTCAAATTCGACTAGATTTAACAGTCGATTGAAATGATAATTGAATGAATTGGTTGAAAATATTTGATTGAAAGTTTCAAAATGTTAGCAAATAATTTAGCGCAGCGCAGATAATATGAAATGCATCGATTCGATTGATAAAATCCATTTTGCTCGTATCGTATGTAACTTAAATTATCAGTGAAAGTAATTGAATTCATTCGTTTATCAAAAGTCAAAACTTCTTTTATTTGTTATATTCTTGCATTAGTGATAAAGAATCAATTTTTCGTGCTTACACAGTAATCTTGGCGCAGTTGTCTATTCTATAAAGTTGAATCTTATTCCGCTGTTCATAAAAAGTAATTTTTCAAAATGATAGACAGATTGAAATTTTATAAAACATTAAATTGTTAGATGAGATCTTAAAATTTAAAAAAAAAAAGTGATAGCTCAATTTGTTTATATATATATTCAAAGATATAAGTTCATTGATTTAATCTAATTTGATAGAAAATACGATATGATATAGAAGCTAAAAATATTGTTTGCTTTGTTTTAAACTGTAATCATTCGACATAATCTAAGATTTCGAATTATATTTTTGTTTATTTTTACAAAAAATACAAATTAACAAAAATTAAATTTGAAATTTTTCCTCTCAATTAAACGAAAAAAAAAAAAATTTCACAGATACATTGAGTTTTGAAGCTATTGAAATTTTACCTGAATGAATCAGGATTATCACTTTTTTTTTATCATCGCAATGATCAGTACCACTGATTGTCAGTGGGAACATAGCATTAATATCATTCCGTATTTCCTGATCTATCCTTTCAATTCAAACAATCCAATATTACGAACTGCAAAATTTTTTTTATAAGCATTTTTCTTTTTTTTTTTTTTTTAATTTTTTATCTTTTTGTCCAAATGATAGCGAAACTTTTTTGCGATATTAAATAATAAAAATAGAGGAGGGCTAATATTTAAGCGTAATTTTTTTTTCAATTCGTAGTTATGTGAGATATTTTGAAGTTTTTAAATAGTAAAATAATAGTATGCTAAGAATACTAATTGTTTTTTCTCTCTTTAAATTCAAAAAAAAAAAAAAATGAGATTAAAGCTGATCACATATATATATTTAAATTTTAGTGATAAACGAATTTACAATTATAATGATTTATACAGCTATGATAAATGATAAGTTATTTTTGGAAAAGTTTTTTTTACAAAATTTTCAAAATTAATTTTGTGATT